GAAAGAAAGAAAGAAAGAAAGAAAGAAAGAAAGAAAGAAAGAAAGAAGGAAAGAAAGAAAGAAAGAAGGAAGGAAAGAAAGAAAGAAAACACACATACACACCACAATGCCAGCTGTTCTCTTACCACTATTCCTAATATTTGTATATGATAGCTTTGATTCTGCAAGTAGAAGTAAATCATGTGTTGTGACTGGTGCTTTCATATCTTTGTGATAGATTTTGAGTAATATTGCATGAAAATGTCCCTATGTTACATCCATTCAGAAGTTTTGTTGTTTGGCTGGAAAGCTAAGAAGAAAAATGAGAGCGAAAAAGATACCAGAGAGGAAAAATAAATCCTCTCTATTTTGAAAATTGAGATCATTTCAGCACCTTAGCCATGCCTGAAATACCTCTTTGTGAACTGTGGTGTAAGGACCTCTTGACAGATTTCCCTCAATCCACAGCATTTGGAATTACCCAGGATCCAGGGCAGCACAGTTATCCCACACTGGAGACTGAGCACGGATCCACCATGACTTGAGAAGGCACTGTCAGAATATCAACACATTTCCGCTTTCCAGGAACTGTGGAAAGCAAAAGAATGTTTTCCATGTTCATAACTAGACATCTATTGCCCTCTTTAGCTTAAGTATCAAAAGAAGAAATAAACCCCCAGCTTCAAAGAAGGTGGCCACCCCAGAACGCCCATTTGTTTGAGAGACAAGGTCTCTGAATTGCACCCTGAGCGCACCTGGCAGCTGGTTCTTCTTCCCACTGACATGGTCCTCACTTTCCACTCCCCCCAAATTTCAAAGCATTCATTGCTTTGTTCTCCACCCTGTTTGCCAGAGCTTCTCTGCCCTGTTTACAGCTTCCTTTGGCTAGTGCTCTCTTTTTCCCACAATAAGACATTGAGAGTGATTTTTTCCTTATTGCAGTTGTAGCCTCCATCAATGACAGAAAGCCCTGGAAGCCTTTATATTTTCTGTATTCTTCCCAGTCAAAGAGAGCCTCCTATACATCTTTTTTGTTTTCAAATCCTAAAAGACCACTAAATCCAAGTTAACTTTTTTTTTCTCTTGCCATTCTCTTCCTTATGTTTTAAAAGTGGGGGTTACTTGGGGGGGGGAAGAGAAGATAAAAAGACTTCCTACAGCAAGGACACATTTTGAAATAGATTTGGTAAATATTTTTCTTAACTCTTTTCAGGTAAAGGAATAAATATGCCTAATTAAAGCACCTGGGGTAGGGGAGAAGAGGATACAGGAACATATATCAATGCATAAATGCAATTCTGTACACAGAAATTTCTGTTCTGCTCAGGTCTTGGGGGTGGTACAGTCAGTGGGATGCTCATGAAGAGTAAGTGGTTAAACAATCAAATCACACGTTCAGAGTGAGCTGAAACATAAACAGGTGTTCACATGTCAACAGCTGTGGTTGGAGGCACTCTTTTCTGATGATGGGGGCATCTCTAGAAGGATTCCGGACTTCTGTGCAAATTTAGATCTCTGAAGCAATTAAAGTGGAATCACAGTCTTCAGGGTGCACCTTATATAGGTCCAGTAATTAAAAATTAAGGATCTGCAAATTGCTTGTGAGCTTGCTTACAGAATAAGAAGGCAGAACTCGCACTCCTCTTCCGCATCAGAGTTTCAGGAGAATTTCTTGCCTTTTTCACTATTTCATATCCTTTAGTGTGGAGCTATAATCGGAATCAGTTTGGAATTATTGTTTTTTGTTGTTTTGTTTTTTTATTAAAGTGGAAAAAAGGTTTTGCGTACTTGGGACTCCAAAGAGTTTAATTCTTTTGGAATATCAACCATCATTTTCACCAGCATACTTTTATCTTAGGGTAACTAATAGGAAACTTCAGCTTAATTATTTCAGATCCTCATTTCTATATACCTGGATAATAAACTCTGCCATGGATTAATAAATAACAAATGTCCATTTTCAATATCAACTCGAATTTAAAATGTTTTTAAATTTGAAAGCAAGTAAGAAATAATTTAAATAATCAGTTTTTAAGAAAAATTAAATATCAACTTTTTCCCATATGTTTGTATTCACATAATGAATTTTGAGAGAACCAAGACAGTGGCCTTTAGGAGATATTTCTATGCTTTTTCTTTTTCCTTAGTGTTTGTTTCTAGCTGCTCCTGGAAATGATGAATTATTATGTGTATATTATTGTCTCACAGCCCAACAATTGTTCAGATCTTTACACCTTTCCTGTATAAGATCTATGGAATGGGTCTTTAAAGAGAGTGGAACAGCAAAAAAATGGGTGGGAATTTGTTGTTATGTTTTGGTGGGGTTTTGTTTTGTTTTTAGGTTTTCAAGACAGGGTCTCACTATGTGGCCCTGACTGTCCTGAAACTTGTTCTGTAGAGCAGGCTGGCCTTGAACTCTGAGATCTGCCTGCCTCTGACTGGGATTAAAGGCATGAGTTTCCATGCCCAACTTACAAATGTTAAAGCAGAAAAACCTGAATGTGATGTGCATTTCTTTATCCCACATGAACCGTGGTCTTTGTTTTAATAAATGGAATTTTCAGATTCATTTCCTATGAGGTCACTTTCATTGCAAAGACTTGCGGACCACCTCCCACACCAGTGCTAATTTATGGGGGGCCTGGTAATACAAATGTACAGGGAAAGAGAGGTCACTATTTTTTTTAGAAGTCAGTTCATAGAAGTTTTAAAGAAAGGAAAATACACCTCACCTGAAGCTCTATGTAAAACACTTGTCCCTTGATCACTGTGTCTCATGTACAATCCTTGGGAACAAAGAAGCATAGAAGGGCAGGAACTCAGGGCTCTGCGGGCTGGACAAGATAGAGAGGCAAATTAGTATTCTAGACCCTTGAACTTGCTGTAGCTACGCCACAATAGCACAATTCCCAGCCCATTCAGAGCATGCTCTTCTCTGTCTGTGGTTCTAAAATGGCACTGGAGCCTTTGGGTTCTAGATTAGGAAGCTCCTTGAAGATCTTCTCAGTCAACAGGGACTTTTTTCAGTACTGGGATTGAACCTAAGGTTGCATGAATATTGGGAATGCAATCCACCATTGATCTATATGCTCAACCTTTTTCTACTTTTTAGAAACTTTAACATGATCTTGCCGTGTTGCTCAGACTGGCCTTGAACTCATTCTATATCCCAGGCAGTGCTCACACTTATCTCAACACCTGTCTCAACACCATCTGCCCCAGTAACTGGGGTTATAGGTCTGTCCTACCAGACCCTACTAAGAAAGCCTTCTGGCTGTCCTTCAAATTGTGTGCCAGTGGTAGGTAGGGATTTCTAGTGAAGAAAGTGAAGGGCTCTCTTAGGACTTGTGCCAGCATCAGCAGCAACTCTCACCCATGGGTGAAGGAGCCATATGGTGGAGTTTGTGCTTTACAGTCCATCACTGTTTCTCAGATGGTGACCTCCTGCCTCAGAATCACTTAGATGCTTTTTAAAAGGAAATATTCTGCCCCTCCCCACCACACACACAAACTCACATTCTCTGATGTTGACTTAACAATGTGCATTTTTTTTTTTTTTGCATGTTGCCTGTCATCTAAGCATCATTCTCTATCTAGCATTACTTCCTTTTCCTAAAGCTAAAGAAAGATACAAATTGCGAACATCACAGGAGTGATCCTGGAGCAGCAGGTGAAGATCCAGTCAGCTCCTGGCCTGAGCCCTTGTCAGGAAATTTGGGTGGGTTTTGGGTCTGTTCCTGTTTCATTCGGGCCTTCTGGGAGAATCCCTTCCAGCACTCCTTCTTTAATAAGCCAGTCACATTTCAGACACCACTCACAGTGACGGAGGGAATTAGAGCTGGGTCAACTCCAATCCACAAATTGCAAATAATTTGCCAAGGGAAATCCTTTCCCTTTGGTTCTGCCCCAAATCTACATTTTCTTCTATTTAGAATCAGGAGAGTTGGACAGAATCAATTTCAAAGAAGGTGCCATTGGGTTCCCAGCTCTTCCTCAATGAGAACTCCCACTGTAGCCGGCAAACTGCATCCTTTCCCTAAGTTACAGGTTGATGGTGTCCAGTGACATTTGCCATGTCTGATGCACTGTGTCAGAATAGACAGCATAGTTCTGGCTTTGTGAAACTTGTGGGTTAATGGAGAAAGTGAAAGTCAATTGCCAATTACCAAGGACACAGGAAGCTGGGAGGAAAGCTGAGGTGGGTTATGGGCTAGAGAGGGTGATGTTGAAGTTAATAACCCACCATGTAAGAATCTTGTGTCTCAGGTAAATGGTAACCACATCCAGAGTCAGGAATACCCCTGGTGGAACCTCCCTTTTACTCCTCCATCTATGGCCACTGAGAATGAAGTTTTCCACATAGAACAATGGGCCAAAGCTGAGTAGAGGGGTTGGCCTCCTCTCCTCCTCTCCTGACCTGTGTGTGTGAGTGGGTTCCATGCTTCCATGCCATGGCCCAGAGGTATTCTTTCAGCCTTTGGGCTTCTCCAGGTTCAGTGACCAGAGCCAGTACACAGCTTAGGCCTGAGGGAAAGGTTTCCTCTATCACCGAGATCACTGACTGATTGACCCCCATTCTGCCTATATGTAATTAGTCAAATTTAGCTATAAATTAACTAGACTTCAGTAAAATCAAGTTTTAAGCTCCTCAGATAAGCTGATCACACATTAAGTGTGTAATAGCTACACTCAGCCAGCATCTACTACAGTGAACAGCAGAGACACAAACTCTTTCTGTCCTGTCATATGCTATTCTGGAGTAATGGTATCCTGCTTTCCACCTGAAGCAGGACTGGGCGTACTTTATTCTTGTACTCAAATTTTGACTACATAATTTTCTTTTGAAAAAGTGGAAATCAATATGAGCTTGCTAGTCAAGAGTTCTGCGGTTGTAGATTCATTCATGGGTAGACAACATTCAGAAAAAAACTGTCTGTACTGAACATGTCATGATCGTATTCTTTGTCCTTAGTCCCTAAATAATAGTGACTCTTTACATAGCATTAACATG